CTTGATCTTTTGGGAATTTGCTTGAGAGCTTTAGAGTTTCAAAGCTTCAAGGTTTTGATATGAGGTGAATTGGTTATCAATTGGTGTTTCAAAATGAATGCCTTGGCCTCTTATTTATAGAATTCCAAAACTTGATTTTTTTTGGATTTAAATATTAGATGAAATAAATCATTTCTGCCAGGTGTTGACACGTGTCCTGTTTGATGACTTTTCCGATTTATTTTGATTTTTCGTTTAGTCACATGCTATGTGTAAAATTTATGTGACACATAAATATTGAAATTTTAATTATTGATCAACATTTATTTTACCGAAATTTCGATGTCTACAATGCACTCGAAGAACATTAGGGGGTACACAACGGAATTTTCCAAGAAAGAAACTTAGCCAAGTTCATTGCAAACCCTAAACACATACTAGTGCTCGAATTGGACAATTCAAGATTCAATTAGACCACGGAGCCGCATACTGCACCTACACGTGCGTCTGACGGAACCTTAAACAAGTCTAAGGTTTCTTCGAATTTATTATAAAAATATTATCAACATAATTAACTCCGTATAAATGGTTATGAAATTCTAACAGTGCTGCACAAATTAAATTCTCCTAATCTACATATTTTCAATAACACAAACTCAAAATTTCACATCACACACAGTTTCAACATATATACATATCACAATTAAATAAATTCAAACATAATACTTATAATTAAGAGACAAAACATACCTTTCCTTTAATTTCCAATCCAATCACAAACCTACATAAATCAAAATTAACTAATCACACATTGAAGACAAAATTAATCAACAAATAAAAATGAACTAACCTTCAATTAAGTGGGAGAGGAAGAGATGAAGGAGGGCGCCGGGGGGGGGGGGGGGGGAGGAGAGAAATGAAGAAATGGGGAGAAAGAAGAAGGCACATACCTAATTCATGAGTAAGGGTTTGCCAGACGAACTACTTCGCCAAGCAACCATTAAAATGTCATCGATCAAGGGCTTCACTACTGGTTTTTAACACATCGTCGTGGTCCCTTGCCAAACGACCCGCAATAGTAAGCGACAAAAAAGTTTGGCGGGCAAAGGGACCCACCCAACGAACTAGGTATTCGCTCTGCAAACCTTAAGGTATTGTGCACCATTTTTTTCCTCTTAGCGCCAAAAATTTTCCTGACGGATAAAATCTTGCCCTACGAATACTTTATGTCTTGTAAAGGTTTTCTCTGAACTCTAAACGTTGGCCAGATTTTCCCTACAAGTTGAATATTTCGTCGGGTAAATGGTTTTTTAACGGATGAAAATTGTTCCGTCGGGCAAGCTTTTGTAGGATAAGTCCTATTTTCAGTGTCCCTCACATGTGTGTTGGAATCACCATTCTTCTAAAAATGTTATCATCAATGTGATCATATGAGATATTACATATAGTAACTCGTAGTTTAGTGAAATAAGACAAGCATTTGAATTTTCATTCGGTTGAATATTTACACTTCTATCTCTCTGTTTATGTTTTGTCTTTCAATTGAATATATAAAAGAGAATCAATGAACATAAATAACATGTAAAGAGAGTAGAAAGGTTGTGCATATAATTTCCAAAAAATAAACTTGACAAAATAAAATTAAATAATCTTATTTATTAATTTGTTTGGGGCAATACAGTAAATTGGTCGTGAGGTAAGGTAAACAAACGGTGGTGATGCATTTGCGTGACGATAAAGCAATTAAAAAACTAAACCCCAAGCTTGATGATCATTTACCGAGGCAAATTTAGGTTAGTTGGCTGTAAATTTATAATTTATAATTAATAATAAAATAAAAGTGATCACTAACCCTAATTTTCAGAATTGTTTCCACATTAGGGTAGGAAACCACATGAGGCAAAAAAAGAAAGTTTATATATACATACGTAGCCCATTAGCTAGAGGTATCGACCAACCCCGCAGCCTTTTGCAAACCACTACAGTATTATTCTCTAGTTTCCAGATTTCTAAGCCCTACCTATCACTGCTTTCCTTTTCCCAACCAGATGGAGTATGAACTGCCATGTGAGGGAAAGCTTCTTCACGACCTTGATGCTCTCTTCGCTGACGACCTTGATGCTCTCTTCGCTGAAACCACAGCTTTCGATCCCGTCACCTTCTTGGAAGACATGGGTATTGATGTGCACGCCATGGCAACTATGGAGAAGAAGAAGCCTGTAAATCCGCCACTGCCGAAACGATGCTTTGGTAATGGGAAAGAGTTGAAGACACTACTCCGGGTGCTAGACGACCTTCGTGCTCTCTTCACTGACGATCTTGATGCTCTCTTCGCTGAAACTACAGCTTTCGATCCCGTCACCTTCTTGGAAGACGTCGGTATTGATGTGCACACCTTGACAACTATGGAGAAGAAGCCTGTAAATCTGCCGCTGCTGAAACGATGCTTTGGTAATGGGAAAGAGTTGAAGACGCTACACCTGGTGCTAAGTCCGCCTTCCTGTTATCTAGAAAACCTTAAGAAGAAGGACGATTCTGAACGTGATCATCGGCAAGATTGGAATGACGAAGAGAGGATGGCAAGGAGTAAGAGAAAGCTTCACCAGGGTTATCAAGATTACCAGAACCAGAGAAGGAAGATTCAGGTGCTTGACATCAAGGATTTGCCTAAGCCGGCTAAACCGCAAAGAGGGAACGTCTTCAAGAACAAGCAGTTGAAATCAAGAAAGTGTCTCGCCTTCTGATTTCTTGGAGAGCTAATATATACAGATATATAGCATTATTCCTCAAACGATGCTGATACATACTAGATGGGAGGCAAACAAGTTGCTCGTCGACTTCAACGCTTGGGTTTGTCTTTGGACCAAGAAGTAACATGGTTCGAGGAACCCATGAGGTTATTGTAGATCTCTTAATCGAGCATAGTTCTAATTTGTATTATTTGGTATGGGACACTCTTTTTCCCTTCGACTGGGTTGAAATTCCCGGCAAGGTTTTTATCGAGGCCCAAAATAAATGTACCATATCCTCTTATATACTTGTATATTCATTCACTCAATTAATGAATATCGTCTCTTTTCTGAAAAAAAAAAAATATATATATATATATATATATATATATATAGCATTTTGTATACTATTATTCAGTGGATATCCTTATTCAATTCAGTGATCAAGAGTTAATTAACAGAAGTCCCACATTGGAACACCTACCAACGTACAAATAATATGATTCACACATCTATCTTTATCCTATAAATTAATTTGTCACTTGTCCCTAGATACTCTAGAGCGAAAGGGATCTATGACTACAAAGTCTTCTTCGTCTGAAAGCTAATTATTAAGATTTGGAGGCAAGTACATTGTGTAGATAACCAAGATAACCAACTTGTTTCGATTGTCACCTTTACAAAAAACACGTAAACCCATTCTTGTTTTCTCTTTTTTGTGTGCAGTTGATGGGCCTGGTCTTGGAGCAAGTGTTTGAAAATTTAAGTTTAGTTTCTCGACGTTGTTCTTCTTTTCGATTTCTAACTAATCTCTGTAACTTTTTTACCAAAACTCCTCCTAGGATATGTTGTTCACTTCGATCAATTTCTTTCAGCATTTTATTCGCTCTAAATAACAACTAGAATACAACATCAACAACAATATACACGTAGAAATGCACAGCGGAGGACATGAGAAAAATATGTAAAGCTTGGAAAGGAAGCTTTTTAAGAGCATTCATTAAACGTACAGGATAATCAAAAGGAAAAATAGATAAAGAGAGATGCATGTTGAAATGCGTCCAACAATTGCATGACTATAATTAAAAAGCAAAACAAATGTCTGTTGTGCTCTTTAGGGTTTACGACCGATACACAAACCCACTTTAGATTCACAACCATATAATTTTTTTGTGGTCTTGTTGAAAAGGCTTCCATCATCATTAAAACTGTTGGGAAACGCTCCCCTCTACCTCCCTCTCTCTGTAACAGCTACCCTCACCAAAGACGAAAGTGCAAGCCCCCCACCCAACCAACCAACCCTAATTCCTGCGAAAATGGAATTCCAAAATAGCCCTACCAAGTTTTACACGGAGCTGCAGGATTCAAAGCAGAGATGGGCAGAACCATCAATTGAAAGCCCACACCCCCCCCCCCCCCTTCTTTCGTGTTCGCTTTGACAAAACAAACCGGGCAAAAGAAATGGAAAATAATTTTCACACTTCTAGTTCTCTGTTTACGTTGTCTTTAGATTGAATATATAAAAGAGAATCAATGAACATAAATAGCATGTGAATAGAGTATAAAGGTTGTGCATATAATTTCCAAAAAATAAACTTGACAAAATGAAGTTAAATAATCTTATTTATTAATTTTTTTGGGCAATACAGTAAATTAGTTGTGAGGGAAGGTAAACAAACGGTGATGAGGCACTTGCGTGATGATAAAGCAAATAAAACTAAACCCCAAGCTTGATGATCATTTACCAAGGCAAATTTATGGATTACTTGGTTATAAATTTCTAATTTCTAATTAATAATAAAAGAAAAGTGACCACTAACCCTAATTTTCAGAATTGTTTCCACATTAGGGTAGGAAACCACATGAGGCAAGAAAAGAAAGTTCATATCCATATATACGTAGCCCATTAGTTAGAGGTATCGACCAACCCCGCAGCCTTAACAAAATAAGGGGCTTCTACGAAAGAACGGGAATGTCGCAAAAAATGCTAAAAACATCGTAAAAAGCTTTTAGTGATGGCCTTGCGACGGTAATGGACACATCGCAATAAACCTATGTCCCAAATGTTTTGACACCATATACGACGCAACTTGACTGTCGCAAGTACTATTTGTGACAATCTTGCGACATTATCTGAAGCATGGTTAATAATAGATGGCAGGTGTAAAAACAAATCTGACGTCATATTTGACGCCAGATTCAAATTATTCTATTTAATTTTATAAACTAGAAATAAATAATTATTAAAAATGATGAATAATCTATAAATTATGTAAATATTTGTAAGCTAGATACGAAGAATTGTTGTTAATAATGAACTATAATTAATGTAAATCATTGTACAGTGTATTATCATATACAAGTACCAATAAAACTATGAAAGCAACGCTCCACTTTTACTTCAAGTTAGTTGAATGGTCCTATACATTATACATCCATGGCATCATGTAGTCATTAGCCAAAACCTGCAACAAGTGACATTTTTGGAACCATCAATAATGTATGAAATTTTTTACAAAAATCATAGTTTCATATCAATAAGAAGAAAACATATATAACTAGAAGTAGATGAATTTTAATATGGTCAAAACTCAAAAGCACCAACAGGATCACATATCAGGGTATTAATCATACTAGTTGTACAAAGTCCACTAAGCACGTGCTAGAAAAACAAGATGAGATGAAAACCCAAAGGAACTAAACAGATTAAAATTTTTGTCACTGATGCAAGAAAACATATTACTTTCATAAGTCAGAGTTGATCAGATCATGCACCACTAGAAAATGGGTGAGCAACATTTGATTGTTTGTTAAAATTAGTGCCAACTAACAATATTAAAGTAGCTCTAAATGAACAAACACGGTAAATCTGTAAGTATAATATAGCACTAGCAGTGATAAATAATCCAACTGTTGACCAGCAAAATAGAACTGAAACAAGCTCGAACCCAAATTACCTTTGCATACAGATCAATATATTTACAGAACTCAGGATCCTCCACTAAAGCTGCATATGTCGGAAGTTTCAGCAACCCCCAGTGTATCACGCCCATGTAGTGCAAGGAGGGAGAATTACCAATGTATCACCCCCATATAGTGCAAAAATATCCTTGTCAATAGCCCCATTCTATAGAACTTTTCCCTAAAATGTGGTGCACCTATTATCAAAAGATAGAACACACCGATAAGAAATTAAACTTCTATAATGAACAACAAAAAACTTCATCTCCCAAACAATTTAATTGAAAATGATACACAAGCAAGCATGAATTAAGAAAGCTAGGATACAGAAGCACATATAAACTAATAGAGACATTATTAGAGAACTTCTAATCTAGTCTAATAAAAAAACTTCTAAATATCTAATATCGAAACGCATAACATTTATGAACTCTAATCCAACTAAAATGCTAGCATATGAGAACTATTATAATAGGGAAAAATAAAACTTGAAGAAGATATATTAAGGATTCGAATAAACCTCGTTTAGCACCTGTAAGTCGTCCTTCCTTAGGAGAAATTTTAGAATCCTAAGAAAAAATACAAAAAACAGATGAAAACTAGCTATGTGTTCTTGAAATAAGTGGTCAGTGGCCACAACATACCTTCCTGCCTGGAAAAAAGAAAACAATGGCAGGGCAGTGAACTCAACTGCAACACACCAGCAAGCTGAAAATACAAGTAATCATGCCCCTTAATTGCTGTCTTCATTAAAGAATCCATGCTATCTCCCACGTAGTTTAGGAAAGCCAGTGATGGTCTTTGTACAAGCTCTTCATTTGCAAATAATTTGATGAGCTAAATTCATATAATAGGCTGAGTAAATTATTCAGAACTATAATCACCTAGTACAGGTTTGCATATGTAATCCTTGGATGCTTAGACATAAGAGTCATGACTCTCAAACTCATTACCAAGATATGTATTAAGCACCCTGTTCTGATATCTGTTGCGAATCCAAAGTATATGAACTACAACACTGATCCTACCCTAACAAAAACTTCCACAGCTTACATCTGATTCAAAATCTTAATTTTCAACCTCAAAAAAGATCCCAAGCATGTTGCTGAATCTATCAGAAACAAATCTTGATAATGTCCTGGCAACAAACATTGCTAAAACTCCTAAAATCACGAACAATTCAGATTTATTCCGAAAGAAAAAGTGTGGGAAATTGTACCCTACAAAGAGTCAAAGACTCATTAAATTTACCAAACTCATACTCCCTGTAGTTTTACAAGTTTTCAAACTAATTCAACACTACAAAGTCCCATTAGCTACGCAAAAGTTAAACAATTTTCCAAACTAATCCAAAACTAAACAATCCCATTAGCTACACCAAAAGTGGTTCTGTGTTTCTACTAAAACTTAAAATCCAGTTGAAAAAAACACAACTCTGAATTTATCTAAAAAATATATTTTAGCAAAATCTAATGAGTTCCAGATCAAATTCCGTTACCACCCATACTGAAACGAAAAATGAATCCTTGTATATCTCAAAACTCACTTGAAAGTAAACGACAACAAAAATTGGAAATAAGAAAAGAGGGGATCTCACGTACATAATCTTTCCAGGTAAACATATCAACAACAATTAGAAAAATCAATCCAATATTAATAAAAACAATTGTTTTCCGGATTTGAGAGGAACCCTAGAAATCACTTAGCAAAAGTTATTGAATAAGAATAGAGAGAAGATGGAGATGATTGTAGTGGCTTACAAGAACTCCGATTGTGCTCCAGAATCTCCGATTAAGCTCTAGAATCTCCGATTGAATCTCTAGAATCTCCGATTGAATCTCTAATTGGATGGATTAGGGAGAGAGGAGCACCATGGGGGAAAGAAACAGTTGAGGGAGAGAAAAAGATTTTTCTTTTTCGGATAGAAAGGAAAAGGAAACACGCGCTGGGCTATTTCATCTGAAAATTGAGCGCGTATGTAAAAATTTGAGCGCTGAATTTTATTCCGTCGTTTCGGACCGTCGCAAACCCTTTGTTGAAGACGACATATTGTTATTTCTAATCTTTTTCCGACTTTAATTGCGACGTTACTAATGCCAAGGTCGCAATTATTTTCGCTCCACCATCTAGCGCGCATATTTTGTGTTATTTGCGACGGCTGTGATATCAGACGCAATAACGTCTTTTTATTGTAGTGTTGTAAACCACTACAGTACTACTCTCTAGTTTCCAGATTTCCAAGCCCTAGCTATCACTGCTACTTTCCTTTTCCCAACCAGATGGAGTATGAACTGTCGTGTGAGGGAGAGCTTCTTGACGACCTTGATGCTCTCTTTGCTAAAACCACAGCTTTCGATCTCGTCACCTTCTTGGAAAACTTGGGTATTGATGTGCACGCCATGGCAACTATGGAGAAAAAGAAGCCTGTAAATCCGTCACTGCCGAAACGATGCTTTGGTAATGGGAAAGAGTTGAAGACAATACTCCTGGTGCTAGACGACCTTCGTGCTCTCTTCGCTGACGATCTTGATGCTCTCTTCGCTGAAACTATAGCTTTCGATCCTGTCACCTTCTTGGAAGACGTTGGTATTGATGTGCTCGCCTTGAGAACTATGGAGAAGAAGAAGCCTGTAAATCTGTTGAAATTTGGATGTATATTTTTCATGTGTAACATTTACAAGGTTGAAGCATATATATGAGAAAGGCACGGAAAGGAAGCAACTGGGAAGCAGCCTCCAATCAGTCTCCTTAAATCACTCATTCAAGAGCTACCAACTATTTTATAACAAGGAAACACAATACCTTAATTGTACGCTAAAGCAAGCTGGAAAAAATATCTTGAATAAAACCCTAGCCTTAGCCGAGAGTTCTACATTGAACAAACAGCTAACACTAAAAATGTATGACTTGATTGATTTGCTCCAGTTGGATTTCCAAGCCTTAGCTACTTCTTCCAATACTCCCCCTCAAGATGGATCAAGGGGGTTCGTTGAGCCAAGCTTGAACAATAAACGCTGAAATTGAGCAATAGGAAGGTATTTCGTAAAATATCAGCCAACTGATCATGATTGCGTGTGTAATGAATGTTAATAACCTTCGATTGAACTTGTGCTCGAATGTAATGACAGTCAACCTCAATATGTTTAGTCCTCTCATGAAAAACTAGATTGGAAGCAATGTGCATAGCAGCTTGATTGTCACAGAACAAAGACACATGCTAACTGCTTGGAAACCTTAAATCTTAGAGAAGACCTTTTAGCCAAATGAGCTCACAAGCAGTGGATGCCATTGCTCGATACTCAGCCTCAGCAATTGATTGAGCTATGACACTTTGTTTTTTACTTCTCCATGTGACCAAATTGCCACCCATAAATGTGCAGAATCCAGTGGTTGACTTACGATCAAGAGAGTTTCCAACCCAATCAGCATTTGTGTACCCCATGATGGCAATGTTACCATTCTTTTTCATCAATATACCTCGACCAAAATAGCCTTTGAGATAATGAAGTATTCTTTGAACAACGCGTAAATGAGCGATGGTGGGAGCATGCATGAACTGACTGGCAATGCTCACAACATAGGAAATGTCAGGACATGTGATTGTGAGATAAATCAGTTTCCCAACTAACTTTTGATAGTCAGTGAGATGGGTGGGAGCCTCACTTTGCATGTCGAGCTGGAGTTTACTGTTAAGGGGAGTTCGACCAGGCTTACAATCCACCATATCAGCATCCTTTAGAAGATTAAGAATGTACTTCCTTTGATTTAGAAAGAGCCCCTTCGAAGATGTGGCCATTTCAATGCCAAGAAAATACTTAAGAGTTCCCAAATCTTTAAGAGCAAACCTAACTTGGAGGGCATGCTTGAGGGAATTAATTTCCTCAATATTATCACCCTTCACTATGAGGTCATCAACATAAATCAAAACAACCAATTTTTCCTATTGAACCAATTCGAACAAAAAGTGAGGAATCAACATTGCTTCTGTGAAAGCCAACTTCTTCAAGTACTGAGCTAAGTTTTGAATACCATGCCCGTGGAGATTGCTTTAAACCATAGATAAAGTTATGAAGTTTGCACACCATGTCAGTATCATGGAATTGAGGTTGACCTGGGAGCAACTTCATGTACACTTCCTCATCTAGCTCACCATGTAAAAATGCATTCTTCACATATATTTAATATGAAGGCCAAGATTGATTAACTGCAATGGACAACAATACTCCCACTGTGTTCATCTTGGTAATTGGAGCAAAAGTCTCTTTATAATCCACTTTATAAGTCTGAGTAAAACCATGAGCCACCAAGCGAGCTTTGTGTCTCTCAACAGTTCCATCAGAGTTGAACTTTGTCTTATGCACCCAACGACTGCCCACTGTCTTTTTTCCTTAAGAAAGCTTAATAACACTCTAGGTTCCATTGTCATGGAGAGCTTGAAGTTCATTTTTCATAGCAGTTTTCCAAATGTCATGCTCAGTTGCTTCTTGAAAACTTTGTGGATCATGAGTATCATGTAAGGCACTGAGAAAAGCAGCATGAGAGGATGAACATTTTTTGTAAATGACAAAGTCTGTTAGGGGATATCTTGTAGTATAGGTAACATAATCAACAAGCCTAGATGGAGGATGGTGGTTTTTTATAGGATTTCTCCGAGTTGGAACTTGTGGTAGAGTCAGTGGCTCGGAGGCTTGAGATAAGGACTCTATATGTGAGCTTGGAGTGTCATTCTCTGTTTGGTTTTCTTGATATGAAGGGATGTTAGGTAATGGAAAGAAATCATGCAGAAACTCCCCTTGATTTGTATCAACCAATTTCTATGTAAAGTAGGGAGTTGACTCATCGAATCTAACATCTCTAGACACTACAAGCTTCTTAGTGACTGGATTATAACACTTATAACCTTTTTTGTGTAGATGAATAATCCATGAACACACACTTAACAGCCCGAGGATCAAGTTTATCACGATGAGTAGGTTGAGTGTGAACAAAACATATACACCCAAAGACTTTTAAGTGAGATAGATTAATCTTTCGCTCGTTCAACACTTCATAAGGAGATTTGAAAACTAGCACTTGACTAGGGAGTCGATTGATGAGGTATATAGTTGTGAGTACCCTTTGTGACCAAAACTTCTTGAGTACATGCATATGAAACATGTTTTCTTAAGAAGGTCTCGATTTTTTCTCTCAGCAACCCCGTTTTATTGGGGAGTGCCGACACAAATTGTTTGATGAAGAATGCCATGGTTGCTCAGATATTGTGATATATTATTGGACATATATTCAGTGCCATTATCATAACTTAATATGTGAATATTGGATGAGAATTGAGTGCCAACAAGTTTATAGAAATCTTGAAACACACTTGCAAATTCACTTTTAAACTTTAAGAGGTACAACCAAGTGATCCTTGTAAAATGATCCACAAAGGTTACATAATACCTATATCCATCAAAGGACTTAACAACTGGTCTCCAAATATCTGAATGAATGATTTCAAAAGGATTACTAGCCTTAGACAAGGATGAATCAAATGGTAATTTGACAGATTTAGACAAGTGACAAACATCACATTGAATCTTGTCTTTACACAGGTTTGGAAACAAAAAAGACATCATTTTTTCAGATGGGTGAGCCAATCGTTGGTGCCAAAGATGTTGTTCTTGTGGTATACTGGAACTAGCTAGAAAAACCTTGGAAGTCTTGAAATCTTTGGCTAGGTAATAAAGTCCATTAAAAAAGAAACCTTCACCAATCATCTTCTTGGTGATGATATCCTGAAAAACAACATTGTGATGAGAGAAAATGGCCAGGTAATTTGAAGATTTTGTGAGGGTTCCAACGAATAAAAATTGACAAGGAAATGAAGGGACATAAAGTGCTAATGACTCTATGTGGTCTGAAAGAAGATTGATTTTTCTTTTCCTACAACTGAGGCTCCTTTCCTTTTAGCTACTGACACTTGAGATGGAATGGACATTGTTGTAAAATCATGTAGTTTGGTGAGTTGACATTTCATATGATCCGTAACTCCTGAATCTATAATCCAATAATCATGCACACAACTAGCATTAAAGGCGGTTGAGAATGAGCTTAAGATACCTAGAATATCACCTTGTGGAACACAGTCAGTATTTGCAAGAAATCTAGCGAACTTTCCCAATAAAGCAGTGTGATTTTTGCTTTCAGACATGGTGGTTTCCAAACAATCATTGTGCAACTGTTTCTTGTGAAGATAAGCTGCAAACTCATTGATTAATACGGTAGGATTTGCTATGAAGTTTATCATTCCCTCAGTTGAAGAACCAGCTACATGGTTGGCTCAGTGGGGTAGATGATTCAAGCTTTTCTAGGGGCATGTGCTATCCTTCAAGGAGCTTGGCTTCAGCTCTGGATAAAGAATCCAACATTTATCTCGAGTGTGCCCAACTATATCATAATAGTTGCATTTCAAGTCAAGCCTTTTTCCTTTATAAGGCTTTCCTTCAGTGTGACTATGATTAGAAACATAAGCCCTAGTTTCAGGCATATTTGACTTGGTCTCCAAGTTCATCACTTTCTTCCTCACTTCTTCTTTTTGAATGATAGTACACACATCTGTGAAAGATGGCAGCTCGGAATTCATAAGTATATAGCTTCTAAGATCTTCAAACCATGGGCCTAAGCTTGCCAAGAGTTGAAAGATCTTATCCTCCTCATCTCTCTTTATTAGGACAGTAGCATCAGTGGTATGAGGTCGATAAATATCAAGTTTGTTCCATATACTCGTTAAGCTGCCAAGATGTTAAACAAATGACTTACCTTCTTGTTACAGATTTGCAATGTCTTTCTTAAGCTGAAAGACACGAGAAGCGTTGTTCTGATTCCCATACATTTCTTTGACTTGATTCCACAGATGCTTGGATGACTCTAAATAACTGAAAATTTCACCAATTTTACACTCCATAGAATTAAGTAACCAGGACATAACCAGTACATAACTAGTTGATCTTTATACAACCATGACTCGAATGTAGGAGACGTGGTTGCATGCATTTGTATAACACCATAGACATATCCAAGCTTAGATCTTCCTCCCAGTGCAAGAGATATGGCTCTAGCCCATGGAAGATAGTTGAATTCATTCAACAAGACAGAACTGAGACGTTGGTTTAGATTAACCTCAACGTCGGAACCTGCTGCAGTAGCCTAAGAGCTTTCAGCTTCAAAATAATTGTCTTCCGCCATCGTAGCTTGAAGAAAAAAATAAGATGCAATGGAAAAATTCAGAGCCAGGATTTTAGAATTCCTGCTCAGATACCATGTTGAATTTTGGATGTATATTTTTCATGTGTAACATTTACAAGGTTGAAGCATGTATATGAGAAAGGGACGGAAATGGAGCAGCTAGGAAGTAGCCTCCAACCAGTCTCCATAAATCACTCCTTGAAGAGCTACCAACTATTTTACAATAACAAGGAGACACAATCGGGTTGTGGGCTAGGGTTTAGCGCCTAGGCGGCTAGGCGGGGTTTAGGCAGACTAGGCGGATTTAATTAAATCTACTATATTTTATGTATTTGTTATACTTAAAATATATATGATTTCATCATAAACTAGAAAATGGAATGACATATATATTATGAGCTATTAGAACATAATGAAAACATGGGGAACAAATATATAATGTGTGTTCCTTTAATTATTCAACAAGTCTCTTACAATTTATTAAAAAAATAAAATGCAAAATAAAAGTTATCTATTTTCTGTCTAAGTGAGTTGCAACCTAGGCAGGTGTCTAGGCGGGTATGGGTGGGCTAGGTAGGTGCCTAGGCAGTCTAGGTGGGGGCCTCAGTAGGTCTAAGCGTCATTTCTTAATTTTCAAACGCCTAGGCATTAATCGAGGCGATGGCCAACCACCTAACGCCTAGGCAGGGCCTAAGCGGCGTTAGGTAGGGATTTTTAAAACAGTGGTTTTTAGTTTTGAGCTACCTCTTGTGTTATTTATTAAAACTCTAGCCACAAAACTATGTTCATGCATTAAACACCTAATCATTGAATAATAGGGTTGCATTGTTCTTCGTGGTTTTGTTTTAATTTTGTGGTCAAGTTCTTTAAGTTTCAAATCTTTAAACTGACCATTTTTTGGATTCTTGTCAGTTTCTTCTTTCAACGGTTTGACCGGAGAAACTGACTGGTCGTTGGATCCATATTTGATTTGATCATTATCATCATATCATTTATATTCGTTGGTGGTGATCTCGGTGCCACAAGGTAAAGAGTTCAGGAAAAGCTGCCATCTTGTGAAGACTGCAGGCGACACCATTTCAGTGCTACAAGGTGATGAGCTCAAGAGTAGCTACCACTTCATGAAGACCGAAGAAGTCCATCTTGTGTAAGGCAAGGTTGCACAAAGGTATAAGCTATTTCATAGATTATGATATAGGATTTGAGCCTATGTGGAAACATTATGGAGAGTCCCCGATTTTTAACCCAGATGTGGGTTTTTTTGGCCAAAAATTTCTTGCATTTCTTATCTCTTAAACTTGTCTACATATCTTACTTACTTGCATATGTTTCATGCATCTTATGAGTTGTTCCTTCATATGCGTTACTAAGTTTACACTACATACTATGAGTAATGAACTGAATTGTTGTTTACTAGTTTAACTTGTAGTGAACTAAGTTTGATTTGTAGATTTACATTTGATTCACTGACGGAATTTGTACTTAGTTGACTAGTGAGTTTGACTAGTCAATCCAGCATAATTTGATTCATAATTGCTTTGTCAATGCTGTTTACATAATGAACTGATATGTATATAGGTTCAAGTTTAGGAATCATTATTGTGAAATTAATCTGGGCAGACTCTGATTAGTTGTATGTATTGGTCAGGTAGGATTTGTTCTTGCAATTGTTCCTTATATCACTGATTAACTTGTAACTAGTTGACTAGCTCATTTGAATAGTCTATTGTGCAAAGTTAAATTTTATTTACGAGATATTCCGCCTAGTACCAATTTCAACACCATTAGTAACATATGTGCTTGGAGACTTCAACTTAATGACACAAGAAGATGATCATTCACTTGAGCCATTTCCAATCTCAGTGATACTCGCACCTTCATTTGTATTTGACCACGACAT